ACACTAGTAGCAGCAGAACGAAAGTAGTGGGAGCCACAGCAGCAACGGCTATTGAACAATTTCCTGCCATGGCCTCTGAGATGGCAGGCGTGCTTGGTTCAAGCGGGCCCCGCTAGTTGCCATGACATGTCCAGTTTAACCGGGCGAAATTTGAACTTTTAACCACTCACGCCAATACCCATAGTAACGTCCGGAGTTGATTTTTTCCACGAATCAAACAGAAACGAACAAGCAGCATTTTATTACGTCTCTTGATGCACGGAAGGTTTTTTATTTAGTACAACTACTTCGATTACTAGGGAATATTAATATGCGGTAAGTCTGACGTCATCAGGATCATTTTACGAATGTCCTACTCGCTGCGCATGTGTTTTCGTGCACTTACATTAACTTCTCGGTAGGTAGGGCCTGCTGTTGACAATATTGTCGTTTTAGACGTTTTCATACATTGATCTTTCACTCTCACTTAAATTGTTACTTGACTTTAGTGTCTATTTAATGACTAGCGGTTATCCTGCCTACGCGCTACATGCCCGGTTTTTGTCCATTTCTTCTTCTTGATTTCAATTACATTATCCTTAACCCCGGTTTGTTCTCTGCCCCACTCTCCTCTCTTCTTGTTTCCTAAGGATACACCGATCATTTTCTTTTCCACCACTCGCTGTGTCATCCTCAATTTAAGCTGAACCTTCTTTGTAAGCTTCCAAGTTTCTGCTCCGCAGGTAAGTACCGGCAAGATGCAGCTGTTATATACCTTCCTCTTGAGGGCCCGGTAGATTACCATTCATGATTTGAGAACGCTTGCCGAATGGGATCCACCCCATCCACCCCAACCAGACGTCACACATTTCAAATTGGATAACTAGAAGGTCCAACCTATTACATAAGCCTCGGGCATGAATTTTCATTGTCGTCAACTCCAACGTCAACAATGTGCTCGTAGTGACTTACAGGTGTGTAGTGGGTGTCGCGCTTTTCCGAGGAAGGACGAATAATGGCATAGTGGACGGTTCCCCACTGCAGAAAAAACTGTGATAATTTATGGCGTAGTGGGTACCATGCAAGTGCATTTGTAGAATAGTTGTATCATGAATGTTCAAAAAATGCTCTAGAAGGGCAGTCTTCCAGCTTTCGTGGAGAATGTGCTGCGTGTTCTGCGCAGGACTGGTGGTTTTTTATAATGTGCTTTCATGGAAAAACAGCGAATAAAATGCATTAAACAAAAAAGAATATTCACCCTGAGCTGGACGAGCTTTCGTAACAATCATAAACTGTAGACAAGCGTAGCACTTGTTTCTTTGTCTTCTTTTGTCGTATTTTCAGTTTCCAACCGTTCTCGTAATAAATTGCTCAGCTATACCATCCCCATTCTTTCTTACTCAATTACAAAACACAACGCACATTTAGCGCAAGAAAGCGGTTGATACACCAGCTCATCAGTGATGTTTAATTAGGCATGTCATTCATGAAAGCCTTGTAGTAGCCGGAAGCCTCGCAAAGTCTTGCAATATATTTGCATAAGTCGTGTCTGTCAATTATAGACCTACGTTTCTTCTCATATACGAGGTTTAAAGAGAAAAAAATGTGTTCACATTCATTTTGCTTTAGCTAAGGTATAACGCATAGATACACCACTTTATGGTTCTGATCGCCAATCTAATGCAACGTTTATGGCTTGTTGGAAAATACAAATTCAAATTCGTGAGTACTTTTCTCCACAAATGGTCTCGAAAGATGAGCGTGTTGCTTCTAGACGGTTACTCGCAGGGAACGACGACGACATGGACACCACTTAGGGCGCTATTCACAGCATCAAGTGTGAGCTTTCCACCTAATATATTAAAATAAACATCTATAAGCGCAGTTTTTCAGATAGTAAGAATAAATACAGATAAACCACTGATGTCATTTTTGCTCCTGCTTTCAAGGGGGGCAGGATTTTACAGGTGACTTTTTTTTAGTTTTTTCGCTAGAGGTAGAGGCAGAAGAAGCATCCTTCTCGTGCCTTCCGGATCGCTCGCGGCGAGTGCACTGATTCTGCAGCGACGCCTGTGCAGATCACGTAGTATCATTCACAACGCCTCAATGGCCCCGTTTGTTCCCGTAGCACTGTTGTCTTTGCTTCTCACTGCCGGCAGCCTCACGGGCCGTGGTCCGGGGCCTCCTGAACCGCACTCGGATCAGCTGCCGTACACCATGGACGTAAATCCCGTTCATCCTTACCAGGCACCGGTCTACTATATGCGCAACCTTCTCGGCAACCTGGAGTACAAGCCTCGGGATATCAGCTTCTTCGTAGAGCTGGCGAGGGAGCCCAACGGCTTCTTGGACATCTTGGACAACTACCAGCACGGCATCAGCATGGTAATACAATTCGGAAACGCTATACTTGCGGTGGTGGCAATCGGTGGCATAGCCGTGGTGGCAGCTCGCTGGGGAGGCTACTGCGGCGGAGATGATTTCCACGAGATCACGCCCTTCTCCAGGACCTCCTACACTATCACTATGTCAGCGACACTGTTCCTTGCCGCCGTAGATTTTGTCCTGGCATTCATGCTGTACCAGAGCAGCAGCGACCTGAATGCCTCCATCGACGCCCTGCCTGCAGTGAAGGAGATGGCTGCCAAAGATCTCGCTGCCTTTGTGACAAACACTATCAACCAGAAGGTGGACGTAGCAGAGCGCAAGAAGCGTCGTCGTCTCGAGGAATTGGAAGATGACTTCCAGAAAGCGTTCAGTCGCTTTCTCAAAGCTCGTGTGCACAGCGACCTTATGCTTCGCGACAGCATCAACATCAGCGACTGCGCCGACAATGCGAGAGAGATCGGCATGCTTTTCATGAAGGATGGCGCTCACACTCAAGGACGCCGGCTGCTGCAAACAAGCAAAAGTCTTGCTCGAGTTCAACATTTCCAGGAACAACTCTGTGAACTTGTAGCCGCAAGAGTGGAGAAGGCTACTGCTCATGACAGAAGAAAAGCTGTGGAGAAGCTCAAGAAGGAACTCCATGAAAGTACGCAAGCCAGTGCTCAGGCTGAACTCAAAGAAACGCTCAATGGCTTGGAAAGAGCTTTCAGCAGACTTGCCTCCTACGGCTCAAAAACTGGCTGGTGGGACAGATTCAGGTCAACGGCGATGTTTGGAATTGTACCTGCATTTTTCATTTTAATCCTTTTCGTGCTCCTCCCCTTTGCAATAGCAGGCATGACACAACACAACTTTGAAGAAGAACCTGAGGAACGGAACATCCGGTCACACGTGTCAGGTGTGGCGCTCATTTATTGCGCTTTCTTCCTCTACGTATTTGTGGTGTTGGCATTGTACATCGCCTTGCAACTATTCCCGTATGGTGCAGTGGGAGAGTGCTACCTCTGCGGTGCGTACAGACAGGGGTCTTTCCAGGTCCTCAACATGTTAGCAGTGCGACTATGGCCTCTCAACGAACGGGCTTCCATATTTCGTGGCATACACCCTAGCGAAATATTAAGCAAATGCAGCCACGGGGATGCGACACTAGCCGATTTGAGTGTACCCGCTGAAGTGCGTCAAGATATTGATGCTGGACACGGGACTACGCGAGCTCCAATGCTGGACTCTGAGCCATTCAAGCTAGCCCAGCGAATGCCGGAGTTCCTTGTCCACGACAGACACGTTGCCATGTTGCCCAGCAAGGACATCAACTTGACCAAGTTCATCACATCACTACGCACAAGCCTCTCCAACGAACGTATCCTCAGCAGACATACACGCCGCAAAGCTTCACTTTTCCTAGTCAAATGGAACAGGCTGGACTTGAGGGACACCAATGAACGCCTGGCTGCCACTAATTACCGCCGTATGCTGCTCACAATGCTACCCAAGTACTACGAGGAGTACTTTTACGGACCGACCATTGACAGACACATAGGAAACTGTGCTCCTGTTTACAACGTCGTGGACAAGACTATGAGTGCCACCTGCGATGGTTTCATTGACTCACTTTTAGCATTCGTTTTCCTCCTTGTCGTTGCGGCAGTGACTTCGATATTGCTGGCGGTCATGGCCGCAAGAGGAGGAAAAAGGCACAAAAGAGGCCAAAAGCGGCAGAGAAGAAAGAAGAAGAGACTCCGCAAGAAAAAGAAACAGCGCAAAAAGAAACACCCTAAAAAGGATTCAGACGAAAGTAAATCCGAGTCCGCATCGAGTGCTTCTCTCTCGAAAGCCACTTCTCCGGAAGCGTCAAAGCCAGCCACCCCGGTGCCAACACCGCCACAGACGCCTCAGAAGACAGCCTCTGAGGACGCAGTCATTCGCATAACGACCACACGGACAGGTGACAGCCCAGCTGGATCTGTGGACCAAACTGACTATCTGGAGATTCGAATTCCGAACCAGCAGGAGCAGCCGGCACCAATGGTAGTGCAGCCAGCAAAGCCGCCCACACAGACCGTAGAGACGCTCCACATTCAGATCCCTCAACAGCAGCAAGTGACACCGGTTGTGGTGTCACCGCCTCCCCAGCCAAAGACGTCCACCATCGAAATCCGGGTACCACAGAAGCTCATGTCACCCAAGTCGCCGCAATTGGTGGCGGTGCCTGCAAGCCGGCGCCAGGTACAACGCATGGTCTCGCTCGACCTCGCAGGCAATCAGAACGCACTCGGAGCCAGACGCTCCACGAGTCAGACGTCGTTGGTGCGGCTGACTCGGAGCCCCGTTCAGCCGGTGCAGATGCTGCGGCAGCCCTCAGGGGGACAGCTACACTGGCCATGGAACCTGTGGTACCCGTACTGGGGCGGTGGCGGCGGCCAGCCCTTGGCGCGCGCGGTCAGCCTGGTCACCGAGTCCTCAAGCTCGGTCGAGGTCGTCGAGCGTGCTAGGGTGCCCATCGGAACAGTTGTGCGCCGAGTCCAGTCAGGCCCTATAGTTACACGAAGGGTTGTAACAGGCAGTTCGCCCTTCACTCCCATCTACCCTTTTTATGCGTACCCACAGCCCTGGTGACAGAAACGGACCTGGACTATCTCAAAACAGTCTTTAATGTGTCGAACCGGATCACTGCTGCCGTCATTGAGGCTGGTTCTGCTGCTGCCGCCCCTATCCACTGGTCGTCTTGTGGGGATCTGGGGAAAAAAGAGAAACAACCACAATTAGTCCCTGGAGGTCAGCCGCAGCTCTGCCCGCTATGTGCATGCCCTGTAAGCAGTCTCTCTCTCTCTCGTTTCAGACGTGACCACACCGATGCAGCCATTGGTCTACGAAAGCCCTTGCAGAAGCACCCAGCAGCTTGTAATTTAACGACCACTGGCTACCATTCTGTGTAGTTATACACCTAACAGGGCAAACATACTCTCATGCAACCGGGGCACTTGTAGCTGGTCCGTCGGCGACTCCGTTCTGTCAGATGTTTTCAGTGATCTCTAAATAAACAACGCAGGAGCACTTTGTAATTTTGCTACAAATTTAATTCCGCCAGCCATGCCTTGAGCTGATGCACGAGTGCAGTACTCACCATAGTTATATTCCTAAATAAATTCATTTTGCTGTTGTGCGTTCATTCCATAAGCTTACCCCAGTTGGCGAATACCAGCTTAAGATGCATTCAAGGAAAGACTAAAGGATAATTAGCATTGAAAATATGGCATTTCGGCAAGCTAAGTAGAATAAAAGGTTACTTCTTCTGTCGTAAGAGTTGCGATAATTGATCGTTGTTTTATGGCAATCAATGTTAGCATTGTATCGCCAACTTCTGTAATATGCATACCGCGATATTCCGACAACTATATCCAATAGTTTTTTTTTCGTGACGAAGTTTTCTCCTACAAGCCTCCCATAAACAAAAATGCGATCATTAAACCGAAACAGCGAGAGTTATCAACACTGTTTTAACCTCGAGTTTAATCGTATATGCCGAGTAAATTGAAGTGGCATCACAGTTAAGCTTGGCTAAATGGCGATTTTTTACAGTTGTGCAACTTCGGACATTTTCTTTTGAATTTTTGTCAGAGCAACAACATGAATCAACGCATCGCAAAAATAAATTTACCGTCATGTAGAATCGGGCAGATTTAAAAATATCTACACCTACTGAAAAAATCAACGTGGACATGACAATTACAAGGTTATAGCGCAACTTTGGTTGAGTGTGAAAAAAAGAACCAGTGAAGAAGGAAAAAAATAGACGACAGGTTGATCGATAATGCACAAACTCGCCCTATCTGACGTACTTGTGGGCATAGCGTGCTTGTGGCTGTTTAGGTGGCAGACTAATTATGTTCGTAGGCCTCAAGATGTTCTGACCTCTAGGACATGCTTAGGGCAGACACTCTTCAAAGGTTTATTTTCTAAACAGTGCAGCCAGGAAACGCTGCAGCCACACGAGCAATAGGGTGCCTCGACAGGACTCCCATACCACCTGTGTATACCACGGTTACGTTTGTGTAGTGTTCTACCCGAAACTTCTACTGCAGCATCCCGCTCGGTGGGGAAATTTGATACATATCCGACTGCGACTTATAACCTCGGTCACAGTAACGCGATTTACGCGGTCGTGTCGTAAGCAAAATACAAACGCCCAATAAACTTTGCTCATAGCACCTAAATTTAGCCCGGCAGAGAAATCCTGCAAAAAGATAATATAGTTTTTCAATTTATTTGAAGGAGATGTTTGCTACGCAATTCTCCCTCTTCGAACGTCGAATAAAAGATATTTTGCCTTTTTTATACTGCTGACATAAATCAGTGTGTGTGTGTGTGTGTGTGTGTGTGTGTGTGTGTGTGTGTGTGTGTGTGTGTGTGTGTGTGTGTGTGTGTGTGCGTGTGCGTGTGTGTGTGTGTGTGTGTGTGTGTGCGTGTGTGTGTGTGTGTGTGTGTGTGTGTGTGTGTGTGTGTGTGTGTGTGTGTGTGTGTGTGTGTGTGTGTGTGTGTGTGTGTGTGTGTGTGTGCAATTTAGAGCGTCGCGACTGCCAATCATGTTGAACCAACTAGCCCCTACGCTGGCCCTTGCAGCTGACACTTCCCACAGGCAGCAGCAAGGTGTAAGCCAACAGCTGGTGATCTATCAAAAATCTTGTCGTCTTGGTGTCACTACTATAAGTACTGAATATGCGTTACAATGTGTCAGCTGCTCCTTCTTCATATAGTTCGTGCTGCCTTATATAGTATAGTATAGTATTCGAAGGTAGCATACGAAAACGCCAGCGTTGCAAATCTTAATGACAAAGTCTACGGTGCCGTTTCTTTTTTGTTCATTTGTCTGTTTTGATTTCTATTGTTTTTTCTCTGCATTATATGCCTCTCTAATTCTTTATTACCTTCTATAAAACAGTTCATCTCTACAGCCACTTCACCGCCCGTTTCAAAAGAACATGTCAGGTCTTGTGTCGCAAATGACGCATTTTAAGGTGAAAATAAAGGGCAGAAGCAGTATAGAGATGCAATGGCCAAAAAGCTTTAGCACACCGCTTGCCTTGTGTTCTGTCTAAAACGCCACTGCGAGATTGATCTTGTGAAACTTATGCGCACGAAAAATCACCCGCATACTTTATCGGTTTTTTTTTTTCAAGGATTTTCTGCGGTCTTTGTACGTTGCACTTGATCTACCCTACTACGTTGTCGCCTCTAAAGCTTGCACAGCTTTGTAATACAGACACTTTCAGTACGCATGCCCGCCTTTGTGGTCACTGTATCGAGGCGCGCTTTTCATATCTAAACGGAAAGGCCCGGTAATAATGTTACACTGGGTTGCTTGCCTATAAAGGCGTGACCACTGTCGGACAAGATACTATATATTGTGATTGATGTAGGGCTGATGTCTTGAAAACACAAGAAAGCAGGGGAAAATTTATCAGAAAGAGGCCACTTTAAATACACTATAATATTATTATTATTATTATTATTATTATTATTATTATTATTATTATTATTATTATTATTATTATTATTATTATTATTATTATTATTATTATTATTATCCCTTTTTTCTTCCACTGCATCATTGTGCTTCTGAGAGTACAACCTCAAGGTCACGCGTCATGTTTTAGTAGCGGAGAGATAGATACATGTAAGGATCACCTGTTGCGCATTCATACGACGAAGAAGCCACCCGTGAGAAAGCTCAAAGCTTATCAGAAGCGGGCTCATTCTAGACCACGCAATCGCAATGAAACATTTCTCTGTATGTACGCACGTGTGAGAACATTCTTTGTGACTATACAGCACGCACACCCACACGCCTAAGTTTTCGCATACACCAGGAAGTGTTTCCATGAATAACATTATTCCAAGTTAAAGGATGACTTTCCGGGGAACCCTTTCAGACATTGAAAGATACTCAGATTTCCGGCTTTCTTCCGGGAGTCTACTTCGTCGCAGGAACGCAGGGTTAAAGTGGTTAGAGCCGAGGTGAGTCGGTGTACGCACCATGATGAATGCACCCAGGTCAAGCGGAACAAGCAAAATCACAATATAAAGCGTCTATTCGCACCTCAACAGCTCGGGACCACGTGTCCTCTGTAGAAAACGTCACGTGTGACGCCTCTGGCAGAGCGACCATCGACTCCGGCAGCAATAATACCAGCAAAGTTGCGAGAAACGTGGAGCGGCTCGGCTATGTACGGCTCCAAATTACCGACCCCCTCCAGTGACACGGGCGTATACCCACTGACGACTTTTATGCGACAGTTATGCAACTAGCGACACTTATGCAACGCCAGGCAGAACTCTGCCTCTCGTTAAAATTGTATGGCAGCGGTATGACGTCACATCCAACGTTTCTGCCTGAGCCCTAACTTTTGAGGTGCAAATAAACTTTCCCTCAGAAAAATCATGGTCTCATGCGGCTTATTGTGGGGATCCTTGAGTATCTGCAAGTTCACGTTGTGTTTGGTGAGCACTGCTCCTTCAGGTCAGTGACGTACTTTTCTTGACGTGAAGATATTTCTGATTCCAGTGGCGTCACTGACGTCGGGTGCCCGTGAGAGCTATTTTTGAACCTGTGAGATGCGACATAGATCGCACACTGCCAGTAAGCTGCCATTCACATGCCATCTAGAGCCCCTGAACGTCGACATCAAAATGTGGGAGCGTTGTAAAGTGCTTCCGCACTTTAGGGTGCACAGGATTTCGTTCCGGTGTGAAGATCGCTACCTCTGGAATACATTAGAATATAAAACTGACCGAGTTGGTAGGTATTCGTCGTAAAAAGGTGCCGAAGGAAGGGCGGGTCTACAAGCACAGGGCAGGCTATGGACAGGGTCTGAGCTACGCGCTGTTCCCGCATCTTCTTGTTTCCAATCTCAATGCAGCTTTTGATGGTTATAACAGCATTGACCATGTGTCGCTGCTGCGTTGCCTTTTTTTTTTCTATCACGAACCTTTTCACGTGGTATTTACCTCATGTTGTAGAGCATCTTGTGGCGCAACTAGGCGCAATGCCATCATTTTCTTTTACCGCTTCCAAACTCTGCGACATTGTAGCTATCTTAAGTCAGACGGAAGTAAAATGTTCCTGCGATAGTCGAGAGTCTCAATATAATACGGGACATGGAACATACGCACATATCCTACGTCGCCATGTCTTAGGAGCCGCTTGCGTCCACAGAAAACATTCCTACATGAAAACCAGCGCAGAAAATATCCAGAGGCCGAAAACTTCCCAATCTCCACTCGTAATAAATGGCCATCATTGGTCAGATGTGAATAACCTACGAGCGTATATATATATATATATATATATATATATATATATATATATATAATATATATATATATATATATATATATATGCACTTTTTTACAAGGTACTGACAAGGTTGAGTGATCTACAGTGTACGAAAAGGTGCATGCAGAACGAAAAGGTGGGGCAATAAGAAACCCACAACCTACATAGACGGGCGTTATAATTTTTGTTCCTTTTCGCGCTGTACAAACCTGGTACTGAAGGTTGTGTTTTAACTATCTCGTGAATGATATTTTCTGTAGAACTTAATAAGGCAACATTGGATAAAGCTTTGTGGAGTACTTTAATTGTTCTAGATGCTCCTTTCATCTTGAATTATTCGAGTAAATTTCCTTTCGAATAAGCGAAAATAGAAGCCATGAAGCCCAAAAAAAGGAAGGAGTCTGACGCAAAGAGAGAACAACATACTAGTTCATGTATTTGACTCAACGTACTTGCACCCGTCCCGAAAAACTGTGCACACCCGACGCTGCCAGCATTTTGCTGTCACGATCGCGTGCAGCAATAAGCGGATGGGCGCTTCGAGTGATGCGAGCAGTAAAGTGGCTCGGGTTGACCCACCAGCATGGCGCCTGCTTGGGCAGCAGTTGGAGGAAGCCTGTCCACGTTAAGCGATGCTCGGCAGTCAGCTCATCGAGGCACCCTATGAGGAAACACGTTCGATGGCACTTCTTCAAAAAAACAGTGTCTCAATCACAGCACCCTCTCCCTGCGGCTTTTGCAATGTAAACCACACCGAGCCGCTATTCAGCACCCGCTTACAATGGCAAGCAGGCGCTGGGACGAAGGTGGTCTCCGCTCTCGACACCTGCAAGATAACCACACACTAGGGGCAGCATTCGCTGAGACGTTCTTTGAAACGAACAGAGGCGACGTATATTTGACGCTGATTGCTATGCATTCCCGAACAGAAAAGGCAACCTAGGAAGTTTTGCTCTGCCAAAGCGCGGTCTTTCAAATAGCAAAGGAAAAGGAAACTTGCAAGAACCACGCGCCCTGGGGATTTATAACGCACGAAAACAGCTGCACTGTCCTTAAGATGGCGCCTTTAGCGAGGCCTGGGTGAAAGGACAAAAGCTTCATGAAATTAAAAATAGCAGTTAACGTCACGTTGGGAAGCGTACATCTCAGTGGATGTGCGAGCGGGACCTTTTCTTTGGGGCAACTTGTTTTCAGCCTTTTATTGTCGCCTTCTGTCATCTCTCAAAGCGTCTCAGAGAATGCGACCGTCCAACGTACAAGTTTTGGAGGAACCAGCGTGGGTATAACGAATAAATTGATTAGAAAAATATGTATTTTTAGTTCATGAATATATATATATATATATATATATATATATATATATATATATATATATATATATATATATATATATATATATATATATACGTTCCTCAAAAACCTCTAAAAAGTTCTAGAAATACTTAAGGCTACACTAGATTACAAGGTGCTTAAACGTTAAACTAACTAAGGGCGTTCGCTGCATGGTAATAACAGTATGTTTTTTGTCTCTTCTTTAGCATGAAGCAAAACGTTTCCTCTGACTGAACGCTGCAAGCAGTGAACATTTCAACAATAATGACTTCACTGTCAAGTCATTTGCTTTTCGCATATGTCATAAGTGTTTTTGCACCAACATGTCGATACTCTTATTTTGGTTATTCTAGCTAATATAGACAATCACCTTTCAGCGTAAGAGTTTTATGCGTTCTGTACCCGGTGATGACGATAAATAAAGTAAGATTTGTCGCGATGAAATTCGAACCAACACTAGAGAAACTTCAGTAACCGAAACAAAACACCGAAGCTTGTGAAATTGTGCTTGCGTGAATGAGAACGTGAGTTGGGCTGTTTTTTTTTTTTTTCATTTTGCTTTCCTTTTAGCCTAATCGTCTGTCTCACTTCGGCATTTGAGCGTATCAGAAGGCGGCTTGCGCCTTATGCCCAGCATCCGATGCGCCATACTCACGGACACACGCCGCCTTGCATTTGGCCTCGGTGTCGAAGCGATTGTCGTTGCCGTCACAGCCTCCGTACACGAACAGCCTGCAGGAGTTGCTCTTGCTGTCGTAGTACCACTTGGTCGAAGCATCTTCGCAGTTCCCGGGGTCCTTCTTTAGGCTGCACGCTTTGTTGTGTGCTGCATTGCCTGCGCACCAAGGACGGTCGTCTGTCAGCAAAGGGGTCGTGCGGTTACGCTCGAATAAACCCTTCCTCGTAGTGAAAAATAGGGGTGGGAATACGCCGAATTTTTTTTTATAAAACGTTGCGCAACAAGGCAAAGCTTACAAGTGTGTTGCGTGGTCAAGAATACTGTCGAAGCGCACGAGAAAGCAAGAGAGCAGTTACGGCGTACAGCACGAATGCACACGTCCACAATAAAAATGCGTTCACGAAATTCAACTCACGTCAAACGCGCTGATTTATTTAGGGTCGACATAACAGTATAAAAGTGCACCCTAACTGCATTCTCCTCTTCTTCTATGTAATCAGCAATTAGGGTTCAAACACAATCTTCTGGTATTACTACGAGACTTGCTTGTACATATCATTTTCATAATCGAGTTGCTGTTATTTAATTACAGTTTGGAGTAAGTTTGCTACGTGTGCTCAGCTTGCAGCGAAAACGCCTGCCCATTGCGGTTCACTGGGAGCCGGTATTACGCGTGGCCGCTTCGAAAAGGCTCATCAGATCACCAACTCACGATAATCAAGTCCTGGCGGTTTAGTAGGCTCATGATAGGAACAGGATGCTCGACTTACTTCTTCCTTAGAAGCGTGGCGGTTTGGGCTAGTTGGGGTCATGACGATTGCCATATGGCGTCAGCTAAGAACGACGACAAAAGGACAAGACAACGAGCGCTCGCCTTCTTGTTCTTTTGTCGTCGTTCTGAGCTCGCGCTATAACAAAAGTCACTCCCTGTTCCCCTGTGGGAATAGCCAGGTTGACTCATTCGCGTCATGTACAGGACAAACTTTTTTTTTTCAAGAAGAAAAAATGATCGTTAGTCAGGTGCACGTAAGTGACCTGCAAGATCGCAACAAGCGAGGAGTACTTGTTGTCCGGCCAGTGCTTTCATCTGAGTTCTCTGTCATGGAATGAATGTCGGCATACCGAAGTACATCAGAACATCACTTCTGAGCCGGCAAATTTCAACAAATGAGCTATTTTCGCTTCACGGAAAGCGCTAAGTAGCCGGTCATGATATGGACATTAATGGCTGCCATAAGTACTCCAGTCATTCCTCGAACACCTATGAAACCTACTCATGGACTTACTTTTCACAACTTGGCTCCCTGTTTCAATAACTGCAGCCTAAAGTATACGCACCCTTGCATAGGTTCTACGGGACTCGCTCGCTGGATTTCGTGCCAACCGGTTGTGCCCTCGCGATCCCCGACGTCAGCGCAGCTCTGACCGACTGGGCTCGCCCTACGCCACACCCTGACGCCGACCCTCGACGACAGCGCTGCTCTGGCCGACTGGACTCGCCCTACGCCATCTCCTGACGCCGACAAAAGCTCTCGTCGAGTGGTGCCCCGTCCTCAGACTCCTGCGGCCGTCTCCATCTTTCCTATCTCCTCTTCCATCGCTCGCTGTCCTTGCGCCTCGCTCTCTCCTTGCTCTTTCTCTCTCTATATATTTTAATCCTATCCTTATCCCTCCTTACCCCCATCCCTTGTAAGCTACTATTGAGATGTCGCACCTGATGCAGACAGTTACGGGGCTCACTTTTCTCTTCTTTTCCCTATAAGAACCACATAAGAAAGAAGGTTCTACGGGTTGTCAATCGTGAGCTCACGTAAACTCGTCGAGCCTCCTAACAAAATTTTTGCCACTCCCATATTTTTCTTCAACTCTGCCTCAAAAGCTGTCTTGGTTAAAGCCTGCCGTCATCTGTTACAATTTGTCATCACTACTGCCGAAAAACACAATGTCATTTCATGCCATAAATTGCCTAGATATTCTCCGTTAATCTTTTACTCCTATTTGTTCCGTAAACTAGTCGTTCCAGTACCTGTTCTTAAACAATGGCGAAGATATTCACTCTCTTTGCCAGACCCCTTTCTAGACCGTGTGTTTGTTTGCTCGTTTTCTTTCCTGTGAAGTAAGAAAGCTATCGACCCTCAAATAGTCCATGCTTTGCACGAACGAATCATTCTCATTGTTGTTGTTTTTTTTCTCACATATATGTTAAGGCTCTTTCGGCGTCTACGACTTGGGTCTGCTGCGTGTCTCTTCTGTAAGTGCAGAGATTTCAGGTCCACCGCCTAGATTCCTCCTTCCAGCGCGACCCAGACCCATGTTTCATTCAACGTATTCGCTTTTCGACCACCATCGCTAAACACTCCGCCCTGCTTGTCCAGTGAATACTCATCAGATGGCTCCGATCACCGCTGCTATGCACGGCTTAAAGGACACCTCTGCACCGAACCCGCAGGTCGCGGCTGGTGCTGCGCAGGCTGCTCGCTCTTTTTTTGTCGCAGAATCCAGTGGTGGTGCAATCAGACACGTGGCCACAAGTAGCCTTGACGTGCGCAAGGATAACGGGTCCGACGCTTCCCCGGCCGCAAGTGCTGTCATGGCCTTCGGGCACCTATCTCACCATCATCGTACACTCGCGACAGAGGTTGCGCGCGCTCCTTGCGGGCTATCACGACGGCATTCCCTGCCCCACTTAAGCAACGAAACAAAGACTGCGCACCTAGAGAGAAGGTGTTGGCCCTCCGCGTCTGCTTCGGAAGTCGAGTTACAGAGAGCTCGCGCAAGGAGCATCGCTGACGTGAGTGCCATGTTGATGGCGTCGGTCCACCTTGTGACCCCCATGACGTCCCTATCCGCGGTCGAGGGAGTTCATCCCACCTTCGTGAGCGCTCAACGTGTCACTGTTTCGCTTCATTATGCTCGTCTTGTGCGTGCCGAAGATAACGCGAAGACCAGTTTCGCTGGGAAGCTCGTGCAGAGCATGTGAACTCGGCCGTGTAAATATCGGCGTTGCTTCATACATATCGCCGCCGGCCGCCGAAGCGTAACCGCAGGCTACTTACCAGACTTGGCGCTCGAAAGTGCCTTTTCCATTTAATTCTTTTGCAAAACTTGCGAAACTGGCGGATGCGCTCTGTGCCGCAAATGAAATTGACTAATCGAAGGGGACATTTAGGACGACCTATAGCTCGCCCATTGCACGCAGTTCAAAACGATGTGAACATATAAGTGCACAGAGGAGAGTATTAAATACTGAGGAATGCTTTATAAAATGTTTTGCCCGTTTGAGACGTGTAGTACGCGCTTGTCGGCGTGTCAGCGATCAGCTAGTTCGCGCACAGTATACTACGCCGGTCGCGCACGTGTTAGCTCTGAACTTATGCAACAACAGAACACGAGTTCAGAGTTAGTGATCTGCTCTTCAAGTTAAGCTTAGTGTGTCATCTTTAACACAATCGCGTCCACTGTCCCAGATTTCTTCGCAATAAGACTGGCGCTGTTGACGGGAGTGAAGTTCGTCATACACACGCGTATGACAAAGTTTCTCGAGAGAGTAATCCACCCGCTGGTCGTAGGCAGATGACAGTGACTGAATGAACAGTTCGTCTTAAAAAAGATAAAGAAAGCTAATTGGCCTACACTTGGTATTTGCTTAATGATACAATTGTGGCTTAAAAAAAACACTGGGCACCGTAAGACACATTTATGACAGATATGACCAGTTGTGTTTACCAAAGCCTAAAAGCGGAAGACCACCGCTGGGCAGATGTGAGTATATCCGCGGTATATATCTCGCAAGTGCATTGGGTCAAACAATCTTATTATGTGGACAAACATGATATTATGTGCCATATTTGTGCATTAGTGTGCCGTAATGTGGCCAAACCATCTTTCTTACAGCGTACATATGCTACCGTTAATAGTACAAATCTGAGCAGTGCAGGGCAGCAAACGTGAAGCCGAACAATACTCAAACTACAAAAAAGAAGATGGAGCAAGCATTGCATGGCTGTCGGAAGCCGCAGCATTACCGATGATCCTTTGCCTTGGCCCCAAACAACTAAAGACAACTTTTTTTTTCATTCGTACATGCAGAAGCGGTTCCTCTGTTGCACATTGATTTTGCCTCTTTTTTTCTACTTTTTTTCATAAGCCGAATAAATAGAATACGGTCGTTTTTGTTTTGAATATCTTTGGTAGCGATTACACAACTCTTATAGAGATCAGTAGTATTACTTCTCCCACCCCTTACATTATATTTTTTGTGTCGTTCTTAACAACGTTAATTCGTTTGTGTATATGTCGTGCAGTACTATTATCATTTTTGAAGTAGTTGTGCTCATGTGTCACACAAGAAAAGTTACATGTCCTCGACTCATACACGAATTTGTCTGCGCCAGTCAATGAACAATGGCCCTGCCTGAGGTTTCTACGGTATATGCATTGAAATAACATAGCAAGAACACGGCCGGGGCTTACAAGGAGAGCATCATGCGCGAGTGCATAAGCATAACTTCATTCATTTACTGTATTACTTTCTTCTAGAGAACTGTTGAACTTCATTGAGGCGCTTAAACATTACAGACTCAACAAAATACTTTCCCACTATGCATCCCGCCTCACACAATAAGACCGCAGGAGTCGTCGCGTGACGAACTACTGATTCGTTTTTTTCTAGTTACTCTTTCGCCTGCTTCCGCCCACCACGTATCATTCGTACGGTTCCTTCTCGCTGTATATCATGGCACCTGAAAATACCCACGCCCTCCGTGCTATCCCCAACTCCTCAACCTTCATAGTTCCCATGAGGCTTCATTGGCATCCTCAACAACCACACAGCTTTAGCGACGTTGACAAGAGCTCACGTGGAGTGGCACAAACAGGAGGCACTCCGAACTGAATTGACCACATCCTAGCTTGGCAAATTGCACAATTAATTTCTGGTACTGTACGTGACAAAAACAGGTGTGCTTATGGGCCGTGGCGTTGTGACAGACTACGGATTTTGACAACCTTGTTGACCAGTTTGGGTTCTTTATTTGTCCACCTAAATATAAATACCTGGGTTACCCCGGCAGGGGGGTGGAGGATGCGGTCATTGCAGGCAATGCGAATACGTTCATCAGAGCATCATATTCTGAGAATGAGGTGAAATAACTGGA